ATATAACAAGTAACAACAACAAACAATTCAAAACAACATGGGACACACACCACTCAACTATCATGGTACTTCACCCAAAATACAGTCAGTCAAGCCTAATCATGGTATTTAAGAAAGGAAAATATGAACAACAAGCTACCCGCCTCAAATTCATTATTATCAACATGCATTCATACATTCAAGCTCAATACAAACAGAAAGGAACACGTAGTCTACCTGTAAGGCAACCGCACCCACTCCAATTAACAAGGCCAGAGCTTTTCCTTTCTGAAAAACCCCTGAATGCTGCCACGCTATCAAAAATAGGATCACAATGTTAGTTTTGTCATTTCAACAAAACACACATAAAACAAAGATGGACCAATTTAGGAGTCAAACAAGAATCACGGGACCTACTATGGAATTTTTGTAATTGTCTCTGTCAAAATATCTAAAGAAATACCACCAACTTATGTTTCAAAATGGAACACAATTTGGGGCTCGAAACAACAAGCAGTCAACATATACAAAATATCACCATTAAAGCTAAAAAAAAGAGTTAAGGCAACCAACAAAAGCACCAATTAACTTGAAACGAAGGTTCCCCAACACTTCATGATCAGCCATACATGTAGCCACAACCTTTACGATCACACTAGACTTTGAATCATCAAATTCTGAGCTAAGATGCATATAATTGCCAATTAAACCTCTATATTGGAGTTGATTATTGGTATGTTCTTTAAATAAAAGCCATGATGAATCTCTTCTTCCCAAACGCAAAAAATCTCTAGTGACTGCATCAAGGGCCTCGCGATCACGACCAAGAGGCGGTTCTCCACCCTCACGATAGGGAATTCCGTGATTGCGGGCATCACGAATGTGGCATGGTCCCCATGAATGGAGCCACCATGTTGTTTGCCCTCCATGAACCTAATAGAGGGCCCACAAAAATGAAGGACATTTTGGCCTGAACCAGTTGATGCCTTTTATCTTGTTTTTTGCAAGTTAGAAATCTTTGATGGGGTGTTTCAAATTTGTTCGGAATCCCATGCACACAAATAAGATATGCAACTATACCAAATTTGATATTCTGAGCCTAATGGAGTAGTCAAAATTCTCATATGAGGTCATCTTGGCAAAAATGGTCCTATCCCCAAACTCTGTTTTAAGCCAAAATTCATAAGGGGATTGGAGTTCTCCCAAAAGCCTCAGGATACGAACGAAGGGTCATTCTAGAAAAACTCAATATTCCAGAGCTAATTGTGCTTGCGGAATTCTCATCTAAGCTCGTTTACTAAGAATGTTGATTAAATTCAAACTTAGGCCTTAACTTGAAAATTAAAATGCCTAATCGCACAGACTTACACTGAAAGCCTCGAGAGTCATGACAACTATGCCATCAACCTAAAATTACCCTTCTAGAACTAATGGAATCATCAGAATTGAATTATGAGGTCATCATCTCAAACTTTTGATCAAAAATTAACATTCAAGGTTGAAAAGCTCCAAAAACTAAAACTTTCATAGAAACCAAACAAATGACTAGGTTACCAAACAGTTAGTCCTAGCAAGTCATTAATGACTAGGGGTAACTATTTGAGCTCTCTAAATGACAAATATGAGGCATAAACACAGAAATAACCTGGAGAGTCATTACAACTTCTAGTACTAAAAAAGACTTTCATCCACGAAAGTAAGAGTCAAGAAGTACTTGAAGGCTTAAAGAAGCAAGGAAACTACTCTTGGATATCATGCTTAGTCTCTCAGGTAGCCTCCTTGACTGCACAATGCCTCCAATGGACTTAACCACATGAATGTCTCTCAAATGCAACCACCATACATCTCTAGCTAGAATGGAAATTGGTTCCTCCATGAAAGTCAAACGGTCATCCAACTCTACTACATCGTACTCGAGCATATGAGACTCATCAGGAACATACCAGTGCAACATTGAAACATGAAAAAATGGGTGGATAGCTGAAAACATTGGAGGTAGAGCTAACTAATAAGTAACTAACCAACTGTCCGGAGGATCTAAAAATGCCCAATATACCTAGAGCTAAGCTTACCCCTCCTCCCAAATCTCATCATGGCCTTCCTAGGATACACATGGAGGAAAACTCTATCACCCACTGGAAACCTAAATGGCTTCCGCCTACAATTCACATATATTTAGTGCCTACTCTGAGTTTTCTGAAGCCTGTCTTGAATCACCCTCACCTGGTCCAAAGCCTCCTAAATCATGTTTGTACCAGTGGCGGAGGGAGGATTTTCATCAAGGGGGTTCAAAAAAAAATTAATCACGTAAATAATAGAGCACATACATATATCTAAAAACTTAAATAGATCATTACAATCACTACAAGAAAAACAGTCTCTAAGGAAGGGAAATCTGGTCCCAGAAAGTCCAAATCCGGTCCCAGATAGTCTATTGGGACGGGAAAAGGCTGGTCGCCACCCGTCCTTAAATCGTTCTTCGCTAAAGGTCAACTGGGACGGCTTGCTTTTGCTAGTCGTTAAATGTATTTAGAGACGGCAAAAGAGCTAGTCGCCAAAATACCTTTAGAGACTACATAACTCGTCCCAAATAGATGATTTCTTTCTTGGAAAATTAGTTATTTTCTGGTCAGTAAATCCCTTTAGAGACTAGCAACCAACTCGTCCTAAAATACTCTTTTGGGACGAGTAACTACACTCATCCTAAATTACTTTTTTTTTATGATCAACTACGTCATCCTAGATTGATTTTCGCGACAAGAAACAACTCGTCCTAGATGAACCTTTAGGGACAAGAAGTTGTATCATCTTAGATGCAACTTTTCGAGACAAGAAACTATCTCGTCCTAGATGAACCTTTAGAGACGAGCAAAAATATTGGTCTCTAGTTGACCACCAATGTTTCTAGATCTTTAAATCACAAAAAATTTATAAGCTTTAAAGTCAATAAATATAAGATTGCTACGGTAAATCTTCATACAAAAGGCTGACATAATACAAATATAAGTTAACATCCCATGTTGTTAGTTTAAACATTTCCTTAACAAAAAAAAACTTAGCAACATTTTCAAGTTTTGCATAACTTTACTAGCAAAATATTAATGGTCTTATGGTTCTTTTAAACTTTCATCTTCACTTGTAGCTTCAATCGTCACAAAAGAAATCTAAAATTCACCAAGGGTTATCCAGGTATATCAATAATCTGCATGAAAATAAGAAAAAATGATTAAGAAACCTTTAGGATTCATTAACCAAATCAAAATCTATATATCGAAAACATAAATTCAATAACAAAAACTTAGTACAAAAAGAAAAAATTTCCATCAAGAAGATTTATATTATGTTTCAAGGGACACAAGTTGTTGCGGAGGAACTGGACACGCAAGATATAAAGGTTTCATGAGAAACAACCAAGTTATCTGTGTAGCAGGGGAAACAAACAAGTTATTATTGTCTTCTTCCAATTCTTAATCCTTGTAGGAGCCAAACAATCTCAAACTGATCCTTGTGATTGTGTCACAAGTCTAAAACGTCTACAAATTTCATTATAGTGATTGCATCAAATCTAAAAAAGCCATATATTGAAGGCTGACACAGTAGACTATGCACAACAAGACAAAAATAGCCCGAATGACGCCAACTCTAAGGATGTTGATCAACAAGCCACCAAGATAAATGCAAATCAAGAACATTGTGGTGATGTAAAGGAGAACGTTCTATCTAACCAGGAAGTTTCAGAAAGCTTGCCCACTGTGATCACAAACCAAAAAGGTATCCAGTTATATGTTGAGCTGAATGAAGTTTTACCTATTACATATGAAGATAAGAAAAACATACAATCTGACGAGGAAACCACTGGACAAAGTCACAGTAACAACAGCCCCTGCCTATATATACAGACCAAAGAACTAACATTCATGATGAGGAACAACATGGAAAAAGAGAGGAAAACATCAACACTGATTTTAGTGTCTCAAAAAGTGTTTGTGTTGAAGATAGAAACCAAGAAAGAGGGCAACTGATTGATCAGCTGAAAGAACATATGATTACTGCTCAACGTGAAGAACAAGAGCTACAAGATCAGTCTTCCTTAGAGGATTGCATAGTTGCTAGACATGGTGAAAAGCATAAGCTGTAATCTGATGTGTTATTTTTCTATCACAAAACAATTTTGTTAAGGTGAATCAGTATGTATATTTGTGCAGAAAAAAGATGCAAAACGCACAGGTGTACAAAAAACAGTGGAAAAAGATGTGTCACTTTACGTGCAGAAAATTAAAAAAGCAGAGAACAGTTATATTTTAAACAGAGATCAATAAAAAAACAGAGGAAAACTATATATGCGGTGATCTTTAAATTTTCTCTCAATAATGTGGGGAACATAAAGAAACTACAGAGATCAATTTCAATTAGCGGCTCTATAAAGGTGATCGAACAGCCACCGGCTCTTCATCCATGAATTCATCACCCAACTCTTCAAAAATTCAAAAACTGAAGCGATGGTGATAAATATTTAAGAAGGAGAGTTAGAATGGGCTAGGAAAATTATCTCGATGAACCTTAGGTGGATTAATTCAAGTAGAAATATGTTGATATTAGACCAACAACGGAGGAGATTTAGCAAGATTCAAACTCAGGTGGGGTCCCTAGTGGAGGGGAAGGATTAAATCGAACTAATAAGAAAATCCAACAAAAACTCCGAGATACTCAGCAAGCAAGCAGATGGCTATTCTAAATCTCAAAATAAATTGAATAGGAAGGAGGATTGTCGACCTGAACACAACCATTATAGTTTGCAAGGCTCAACAAATCACAATAAAGAACAGATGAGAACTCATAAGCACTCAAATAACTTGCACAGATTGCATCAAAACAGGAAGTAGAGACACCATTACATCTAGGACATCGAGAACCATTATTAGTTTCCTAAGAGTTCAGCCTTACACTAACTGCTTAAACAACTATACACAAATAGAGTTTGATATATTGTTACTTACTTGGTCAGCAAAAAATGTCAGTGGTCATTCAGTTGATACGGGTGATGTCATATGTAGGTTATGTGATTGTTGAGCAGCAATGAATTCTTTCATATTTCTTATTTCTTCCATCGCATCTTCTAATGTAAACAAGCGATCAAGCAAGGATTTATTTTCCTCATTCAAAGATTTATTTTTCTCTTGAGTTGAACGTAGCTCAGACAGTAATTCAGCCTTTGAAGAAGTGCCATCTCTCATGTCCTTTGCCTTTACTCCACCCCCAAAGCCAAATACATGGCTACGATTTTGAGGTCCACAACACTTTTCTACAATCTCTATGCTAGGCAGAGATGGCTCAGCTTTTAGTATTTCTTCGATTTGAGCCTACAAAATATAAAAAAGTATATTTCAATAGATTTCATAATAATTTGAATTAATTTACTTATTGAATTTACCAAACGCACATGTTTTTCAATTGCTTCTGGTTCAACAAGCATGTTATCTTTCTTACGAGTCTCAAAGAAAATAGTCGCCAAATTTGGTGCATTACCATCTTTTCCGCCCTTTACATCAAATAAAAAACATGTCAAATAACACTTCTTAAATATTTTCTTCAAAAACAATTTTTTTATAATACCTGTTGATAAATAATCTCTCTAATAGGCTTGCTACCAATATGATGAAACATCTTTAACTTAGCTCGATTTTCTGCATTTCTATTGCTCCTCGCCTATATTGTTAGGTAAAACTTTCACATCTAAGAAAACTTATTAACTTCAAAAAAAGTTTCACATCTAAATATCACGATGAGCTGTGAAATGATTGCTTTAATAATGTAGACTATTAGATCACTAGGTGTACCTGAAAACTTTCAGAACAAAAGTGTTCCTTAACTAACCACTCCCATTCCTTCTTTTCTACTCCCTTTGGAATATTCTTAAGAGCTTGAACGATTGGCTTATTCTTCACATAAGTAGCATGCAAGTATCCTCTCCATTTGTTCCATAACTCATTCATCCATCCAAATATATGATCACGATGATCATTCAAGTCAACACTCTCAAATTTATCCTACAATAATTAAAATATGAGCTTAAATGAAAAAGGAAAGTGAACATTGTGCGTCAACTATAAAAAAAGTGTGTAAATATTTTAGCATGAAAAAGATGTGCAGCAGTGGTTAATGTTTGAATAGGAAAAGTAAGTTGTGATTCAACAAGTTAAACGATGTAATTCATAATTGTTACCGCAATAGCAGCCCACATGTGATCCAACTTTTGTTGCTTGATATCACTCCATGATGATACTCCCAATGGACACATGTTACAATCACGAATTATTTTTCCTAGGTGCCTCGAAAACAGATTGCTATTTGTTCCAACTGTTCGATTATTGTAAAATGTTACTTTCAGCTTCTTTCCGGCTTCAAGTGATGCAACTTCTTTACACTTGTTGGTCCCTCGAACCCTTCTTACCTTTTTAGGATTAGATGATCCTGTAGTTGTATAATTAATTTAGTAAGAACTATAATAGTAAAATTTAGTTGTACAGATTGATAATGCACAGATTTGTAAATTTCATACCTGTTTCAGCTGTTTGGGAGGGTTGCCTTACTTGATTAGTAGAACCAGGGGATTTGATTTCCGTGTTCTCTTTCTCAAGAACAAGGGAATTTTTATCCATTGATGGCAGTCCTCGACTAGATTCCAAATTCTTTTCAGAAACCCCTAAAGATGAGCAGAAAGATCTAGGCATTTGCTCACGTCCCTTTTCTATAGCACCTAGAATCAAGAAGTAATATTATAAAAACTTTGACATTTACTTTCTATTTTAAACGGAATTAAAAATATAACAGATTTTAAAAAAGAAACATACTTGTTTCAACTTCTTTGGTACATTGCTTTACTTGATTAGTAAATGAATGAAAGGGAGTATGAACTTCACTAGAAGGCATGGTGGAGTTTTTATGTCCAATTCCTCGTTCCTTACCAATAGAACCTGGAGAAAACAAACCGCTACTGTTTGAATACAATTTCCCTGTGACTATTTGACAAAAAATAAGGCCTCAACTTGTAGGAGTTGACTATATGGATAAAATTAGCAAGAAAGACCAGCACAACTAAGTTATAGGCGAAGAAGCTTTGACATTCAATTTAAGTTATTATGTAATTACTATATCAACGGTCATGAAAAAACATACTTGTTTCAACTTCTTGGACGTTTTGCTTAACTTGCTTGATAGATGGATGAGATGAAGCATTAACTTGCATGTACCCTTTCTCAAGAGCCATGGACTTCTTGTGTATTACTCTCTTATCATGACTAGAAGACATGGTGACGTTGGTAAGTTCTTGTTGTCGCCCCTTCCCAATAGCACCTGTAGAAAAGCAAAAGTCATCCATAAATAGATAGATGATAATACATTGATGAGAGGATAAGTATATACTACAAAGTGAGATAAGTGAGTAGGATAAGTATATTTATGCAATTAAAAACTCAACATATATTAAAAAGCTTACTTGTTTCAACTTCTTGGATGTATTGCTTAACTAGATCACTAGATTGAAAAAATAAACTCCTAGTTGGATCTTTTCCTTTTGATGTCAAAGATTTAAGCCCTCGTCCTCGTCCTTTTCCAATTGTCCCGGGAGCAACAAATGAGTATCTGATAGTACTCTTCATAATTGATCCGTCCACATTTTCAGTTTTCATATTGAACCTGTAAAAAAGTCAAAGGTAGAAAAATAATAAGGAAACTTTCTATCAGTGAACTGAAGAACAAAAGAAAAGTAGTCTTTCAATAGTTACTAGTGAATTAAAGGAATAGAATCAAAGTAATCAAGAATAGGAGTTTTTAATAGTATGAATTATCAATAATCAAAAAGAGAAATCATTAATCTCGCGATCCCCACCGCCAAATAAGAATCATGTGCGACAATATGATGTAATATAAAAGAAATCGTGTCTATCAGTTCACATATCAGTTCACAAAAGATACATTACCTCATCAGTTCTTTTTTGTTTCTTTTGTGAAGGACTTTCTAAGTCAACTACAACATCATCCATTTGTTTCCCCATCTCATAGGAATCACGAGGTTGAGTCTTCCTTACTACATGCCAACCTTTGTTGGAATTATCATTAGCATAAAACACTTGAGATGCTTGGTTAGCTAAAACAAAAGGCTCATTTGTTTTCAAAAATCTACTCGAATTTACACTCACGAAGTCATACTCATCTCTTTTAACTCTTTTTACTTTGTCATACACATCAAACCAGTTACACCGAAACAAAATCACTCTTTTATCCGAGATAAATTGCAATTCAATCACATCTGTTAAAATTCCATAGTAATCAACATTCTCACTATCTTTATCACTCTCACCAACTACAACAACACCACAATTTTGAGTCCTTAACATTTGATCATGATCTTCTACATGAAATCTATATCCATTAACAATGTAGCCATTAGAATGTGTTGAATATTTGGTAGGACCACGTGAAAGTGAGAGAAGATCTTCCATGAGTTGACTATTATCTGCTTTATGCAATTGTGCAACCTAAAAGTAAGATAACATTTAGTAATTTAGAATGATTAGTAAAAAGTCAAAATGTTGAATCTATTATTTATGTATTTCTCACCCTATCTTTAAACCATTCAATAAATTCTCGATCCCATTCTGCATCTGACAAGTGTTGAGCAGTATCTATATGATTTTGTGCAAACTCTCTACAAAATTGAGGTTAACCATAAATTTCATATAGAAACTATATCACCTTAAAGGAAATAAGAAAAAAAATACTATATAAAAGAACTCTCCATACTCAAGATATGGTATGACTTCATCACAATTCTTCAGAATGTATATATGTGCTTGTTCCAATTCTTTAGCTTCAAGCTCAAAAGGATTTTTAGCTCCCAAAATTTTTCCAGATTGACAAAATATGGATAAACCCCCATCATCATTTCTTTCTGGCCGATTGAATTTTGTGTCAATTCTATGCAGATACCTTGAACATAAGGTCATACATTCATTTGCAATGTAGCCCTCTGCAATACAACCTTCTGGACATGCCCTATTACCAATGAGAGATTTCAAAAAATATAGCCATCGCTCAATAGGATACATCCACCGATAATGAATAGGTCCACCAATCTGCGCTTCACCAGCTAAATGAACAGGCAAGTGCACCATGACATCAAAAAAAGAAGGAGGGAAGACCTTTTCTAACTTGCAAAGTATTATGGGAATTTGTGCTTCAATATGTGTCAAGTCATCAATCATCAACTCCTTTGATCCAAGCACACAAAAAAAAATTGATAACTCAATAAGAGGTTCACACACTTCTTTGGACAACATACCACGAAGAGCAAGAGGGAGAATATGTTGCAAAAGAACATGACAATCATGACTTTTTAATCCAGATATCTTGTGATCTTTCAAGTTTACAGATTGAGAAATATTAGACGAAAATCCATCAGGGACCTTTAAATTCTTCAAGAAAAGACATAACTTGTGCTTATCTTCAGGCGACAATGTGTAGCATGCAGTTGGAACTTCAACTTTCTCCCCTCTTTGGATAGGGTGCAATTCTGGCCGAATGTTCATTTCCTCCAAGTCTAACCGAGTGTTAATTGTGTCTTTTGTCTTTCCTTTGACATTTATGATTGTCCCCATGATATTATCACATATATTTTTCTCAATATGCATGACATCCAAATTATGTCGCAACAAGAGAGATTTCCAATATGGAAGTTCAAAAAAGATATTTTTCTTGTTCCAATTATCATTTCTTTTTTCATGTGATATCTTCCTCTTTTTCTTGGGATCCTTTGTTAATGGTTGTCCTTCAAGATCTTGCACTTGATTAAGTATCTCAATTCCAGAACATGTTTTTGGTGGGAGCCTCTTCTCTATTGTATTATCAAATGACTTCTTGTCATTCCTCCACCTGTGATCCTTGGGAAGGTAACGCCGATGACCCATAAAGCATTGTTTCCTACAATTAGCCAATCGAATTGAGGAGGTGTCTTTATTACAAGATGGACATGCCAATTTTCCTTTTGTACTCCATCCAGATAAATTTCCATAAGCTGGAAAGTCATTGATAGTCCATAACAAAGAAGCATGCAACTTAAAATTTTGTTTAGTTGATGCATCAAAGGTCTCAATACCAACTTCCCACAACTCCTTCAATTCCTCAATTAGAGGTTGAAGATATGTATCAATTGCATCTCCAGGACCATTTGGACCAGGAATAAGCATTGACAATATAAAATTTTCTTGTTTCATACACAACCAAGGTGGTAGATTATAAGGAATAAGAACCACAGGCCAAATGCTATGTGAGATTTTTGAATTGCGAAATGGCTGAAATCCATCACTAGCAAGTCCAAGTCGAACATTGCGAGGCTCGATTGCAAATGAAGGATGAAGGTCATCGAATGACTTCCATGCCATTGAATCAGCTGGGTGCCTCATTATTCCATCATTAGTTCTTTCATCCTTATGCCATGTCATTAGAGAAGATGTCTTTGTAGACATAAACAACCTTTGAAGCCTAGATTTAAGGGAAAATAACGTAAAGTCTTTGAGGCTATCTTTTTACCCTTTTTATTCTTTGTTTCCCCAGTATGTGTATTTATTTTCCATCTGGACGCACCACAAATTTTGCAAGAATTGAGTAAGCTATCCTCCTTCCAATATAACATACAATCATTACTACAAGCATCAATCTTATCGTAAGAAAGCCCAAGATCTCGAATAATCTTCTTTGCCTCATAATATGAATTTGGCAAATCAGCCCCATTAGGCAATAACTCCTCTTTTAACATTTTTAATAGCATGCTAAATGACGCATTACTCCAACGACCCATACTTTTGATGTGAAGCAATTTAATCAAAGATGAAAGCTTTGAAGCCTTTGAGTTTTGGTATAGTGGCTGCTCCAAATCCTTCAATAGGCTGTAAAATCTTTTAGCTTCAACATTTGGTTCCTCCTCAACTACATCATCATAACCAGTGTGGGTATCTCATCCATCAACATTAGGATATAAATCCTTCAATAACTCTTGTATTTCATCTTCACTTTCATAATCTTCTACTTCATCATCATTTTCATCTTCAGAGTTTGACACTGGCTCACCTAAATGTTCTCCGTGGTGATACCAAAAAGTATAATTTTGAATTATTCCATATACTTTCAAATGTGTATCAATCATCTCACGAGTTCCTAATGTTGTATTACAACATTTGTAACATGGACATCGTATTTCATCTTCTTCTCCTGATCCCAGAAAAGCATAATCCAAAAACTTTTGCACCCCGTCTAAATAGGCTTGGTCAACCCGTTTATCAAGAGAAAGTTGCATCCATTTCTTACTAGGTGCCATAACCTTGGAGAATACATAAAAATAGAATAAGAAAATATAAACGATAAGGAAAAACTTTAAATGCACACAACTTGTGATTTTGTACCTAGTTCACTATGTTATCAAAATTAAATTCAATATATTATTTACAACTTACAATATGTTATTTACAGACGTTTTGATAAATTATAAGATGCGCACAACTTACAATCTGTTATTTACAGTCATTTGGGTAAATTTGTCGAGCTTGACTTTTACAAGAATGGAAGAATATGTGGTGCAACTATAAGAATGTTTCTTCTTGAAATA